GACCCATCTTTCTGCTGCATACAAGAAACACATCTCAAATTCGAAGATAGACACTACCTAAAAATAAAAGGCTGGGAAAAGACTTTCCAATCAAACGGTCTTAAGAAACAAGCGGGTGTAGCCATCCTGATATCCAGCAAAATAGACTTCAAACTAAAATCAATCAAAAGAGATCAAGAAGGGCATTACATACTCATCACAGGAAAGATCCACCAAGATGAAGTCTCAATTCTGAATATTTATGCCCCAAACACAAGGGCACCCACATATGTAAAAGAAACATTACTAAAGCTTAAATCACATATAAAACCCCACACATTAATAGTGGGAGACCTCAACACCCCACTTTCACCACTGGACAGATCTCCCAAATTGAAACTTAACAGAGAAATAAAGGACTTAACTGATGTCATGACTCAAATGGACTTAATCGATATCTACAGAACATTCCATCCTAACAAAAAAGAATATACCTTCTTCTCAGCACCCCATGGAACCTTCTCTAAAATTGACCACATACTTGGCCACAAAACAAATCTAAACAGATACAAAAGAATTGGAATAACCTCCTGTGTTCTATCAGACCACCATGGTCTAAAGTTGGATTTCAACAACAACAAAAACTACAGAAAACCTGCAATCTCATGGAAACTGAATAATACCCAACTGAATCACCAATGGGTTAAGGAAGAAATAAAGAAAGAAATTAAAGACTTCCTAGAGATCAATGAAAATGAAGACACCACATATCCAAATTTATGGGACACTATGAAAGCAGTACTAAGAGGGAAATTCATAGCACTAAATGCCCACATAAATAAGTTGGAGAAATCTCACACTAGAGACTTAACAGCATACCTGAAAGCTCTAGAACAAGAAGAAGCACAGTCTCCCAGGAAAAATAGACGCCAGGAAATTATCAAAGTGAGAGCTGAAATCAATAAAATAGAAACAAAGAGAACAATACAAAAAATTAATGAAACAAAGAGTTGGTTCTTTGAGAAAATCAACAAGATAGACAAGCCCTTATCCAAACTAACCAAAAGACAGAGAGAGAGCATCCAAATCAACAAAATCAGAAATGAAAAGGGGGACATAACAACAGACATTGAGGAAATCCAGAGAATCATCAGGTCATACTTCAAAAACCTCTATTCGACAAAACTGGAAAACCTAAAAGAAATGGATAACTTTCTGGATAGGTACCACATACCTAAGTTAAATCAAGACCAGATAAACTATTTAAATAGTCCAATAACCCCTAACGAAATAGAAACAGTCATTAAAAGTCTCCCAACCAAAAAAAGCCCAGGACCAGATGGTTTCAGCGCAGAATTCTACCAGATCTTCAAAGAAGAGTTAATACCAATACTCTCTAAATTGTTCCACACAATAGAAACAGAAGGAACATTACCAAACTCCTTCTACGAGGCTACAATTACCCTAATTCCTAAACCAAACAAGGATACAACAAAGAAAGAGAACTACAGACCGATCTCCCTCATGAACATTGATGCAAAAATACTCAATAAAATACTGGCAAACAGACTCCAAGAACACATCAAAACAATTATCCACCATGATCAAGTAGGATTCATTCCAGGGATGCAAGGGTGGTTCAACATATGAAAGTCCGTCAATATAATACACCATATCAACAAACTCAAAGAAAAAAACCATATGATCATCTCACTGGATGCAGAAAAGGCATTTGACAAAATCCAACACCCCTTCATGATAAAGGTATTAGAGCGATCAGGAATACAGGGAACATACCTAAACATAATAAAGGCAATTTACAGCAAGCCAACAGCCAACATCAAATTAAATGGAGAGAAACTCAAAGCAATTCCACTAAAATCAGGAACGAGGCAAGGCTGTCCACTCTCCCCATACTTATTCAATATAGTACTTGAAGTTCTAGCCAGAGCAATAAGACAACATAAGGAGATTAAGGGGATACAAATTGGAAAGGAAGAAGTCAAGCTTTCCCTATTTGCAGATGACATGATAGTATACTTGAGCGACCCCAAAGATTCCACCAAGGAACTGATACAGCTTATAAACACCTTCAGCAACATAGCAGGATACAAGATCAACTCAAAAAAATCAGTAGCCCTCCTATATACAATGGACAAAGAAGTGGAGAAGGAAATCAGAGATACATCACCCTTTACTATAGCCACAAATGACATAAAATACCTTGGGGTAACACTAACCAAGCAAGTGAAGGACCTATATGACAAGAACTTTAAGTCCCTGAAAAAAGAAATTGAAGAAGATGTCAGAAAATGGAAAGATCTCCCATGCTCATGGATAGGCAGGACAAACATAGTAAAAATGGCAATCTTACCAAAAGCAATCTACAGATTCAATGCAATCCCCATCAAAATACCAACACAATTCTTCACAGACCTGGAAAGAATAATACTCAAATTCATATGGAAAAACAAAAAACCCAGGATAGCCAAAGGAATCCTGTACAATAACACAACTTCTGGAGGCATCACGATCCCTGACTTCAAGCTCTACTATAGAGCTACAGTAATAAAAACAGCTTGGTACTGGCATAGAAACCGACATGTGGACCAATGGAATCGAATTGAAGACCCTGACATTAATCCGCACACCTATGAACATATAATTTTTGACAAAGAAGCCAAAAGTGCACAATGGAAAAAAGAAAGCATCTTCAACAAATGGTGCTGGCAAAACTGGATATCAACATGTAGAAGGCTGCAAATAGATCCATATCTATCACCGTGCACAAAACTTAAGTCCAAGTGGATCAAGGACCTCAACATAAATCCAGCTACTCTGAACCTGCTAGAAGAGAAAGTAGGAAGTAGTCTTGAACGCATTGGCATTGGAGACTACTTCCTAAATAGAACACCAGTAGCACAGACTCTGAGAGAAACAATCAATCAATGGGACCTTTTGAAACTGAGAAGCTTTTGTAGAGCAAAGGATACGGTCAACAAGGCAAAGCGACAGCCTACAGAATGGGAAAAGATCTTCACCAACCCCACATCTGACAGAGGACTGATATCCAGAATATATAAGGAACTCAAGAAATTAGACATCAAAATGCCCAAAAGTCCAATTAAGAAATGGGCTATAGAACTAAACAGAGAATTCTCAACAGAGGAAACTCAAATGACCGAAAGACATTTAAGGAATTGCTCATCATCCCTAATCATCAGGGAAATGCAAATCAAAACAACTCTGAGATACCACCTTACGCCTGTCAGAATGGCTAAGATCAAAAACACTGAAGACACCTTATGCTGGAGAGGATGTGGAGCTAGGGGAACTCTCCTCCACTGCTGGTGGGAATGCAAGCTTGTACAACCACTTTGGAAATCAATATGGCGCTTTCTTAGAAAATTGGGAATCAATCTCCCCCAAGATCCAGCTATACCACTCTTGGGCATATACCCAAGAAATGCTCAACCACACCATAAGAGCACTTGATCAGCTATGTTCATATCAGCATTGTTTGTAATAGCCAGAACATGGAAACAACCCAGATGCCCTTCAACTGAAGAATGGATAAACAAAATGTGGTACATATACACAATGGAATACTACTCAGCAGAAAAAAACAATGGCATCATGAGGTTTGCAGACAAATGGATGGATCTAGAAAAAATCATCCTGAGTGAGGTAACCCAGACTCAGAAAGACAAACATGGTATGTACTCACTCATAGCAGGATACTAGACATGAAACAAGGATGAATTGTCTGCTACTCACATCACCAGGGAGGCTACCCGGAAAACAGGACCCCAAGAAAGACACAGGGATCGCCCAATGACAGAGAAATGGAATGAGATCTACATGAACAGCCTGGACATGAGTGGGGGTAATGAAAGGCGAGGGTCGAGGGAAAGAGAGCTTGGGGGAGCGGGAGATCCCAGCTGGATCAACAACAGAGAGGGAGAACAAGGAATAGGAGACCATGGTAAATGAAGACCACATGAGAACAGGAAGAAGCAAAGTGCTAGAGAGGCCCACAGAAATCCACAAAGATACCCACACAACAGACTGCCGGCAATGGTCGAGAGACAGCCCGAACTGACCTACTCTGGTGATGGGATGGCCAAACACCCTAATTGTTGTGCTAGAAACCTCATCCAACTACTGAGGGATCTGGATGCAGAGATCCACGGCTGGGCCCTGGGTGGATCTCTGGGAGTCCAATTAACGAGAATGAGGAGGGTTTATATGAGCGAGAATTGTTGAGACCAAGGTTGGATAAAGCACAGGGACAAATAGCCAAATGAATGGAAACACATGAACTATGAACCAATGGCTGAGGGGTCCACACTGGATCAGGCCCTCCGAATGGGTGAGACAGTTGATTGGCTTGATCTGTTTGGGAGGCATCCAGGCAGTGGGACCAGATCTTGTGCTCATTGCATGAGTTGGCTGTTTGAATCCTGGGGCCTATGCAGGATTGTTTGGCTTGGCCTGGGAGGAGGGGACTAGACCTACCTGGACTGAGTCTACCAGGTTGACCTCAGTCTGTGGGGAAGGCTTTGCCCTGGAGGAGATGGGAATGGGGGGGGGGTCGTTGGGGGGAAGGTGAGGGGGACGGGAGGGGGGAGAACAAGGGAATCCGTGACCGATATGTAGAACTGAATTGTATTGCCAAATAAATTAAAATAAATTAAAAAAAAAAGAATGCCCTGCAAATGCAATTCACCAACCTGAAATTGAGATTTATGTTTTTGTGAGAATTTAATAAACATCAATGCACTTAAGTGGTAAAAAAAAAAAAAAATATCACAGCACATCACAGTTGAAAACAGAAATTTGAATTAAAAATTTTGACACTTCCAGGATACACAGACTATACCAGTAGAGAGAATCCTTGAGAGGGTTACAGAGAGGCAGCCCAGACACAGAGGAGTCCAGCCCTCTATGCCTCTCTGAACAGGCTCTTCCAGGGCCCAGATCTCTGTGTGACATCTGCGCCCCCTGCTGGTCCTGATCACCTTGAAGAGAAGTTTGTGTCTGAGCTCACAGTAACATTGTATCACTGTGACTCTGGTACAGTAATACATGGCTGTGTCCTCAGACCTCAGACTGTTCATTTGCAGGTACAGGGTGTTCTTGGCATTCTCCCTGGAGATGGTGAATCGGCCTTTCACAGCATCCGCATAATTGGTGGTACCACCACCACTACTAATGTATGCGACCCATTCCAGTCCCTTCCCTGGAGCCTGGCGGACCCAGGCCATGTAATAGCTACTGAAGGTGAATCCAGAGGCTGCACAGGAGAGTTTCAGGGACTTTCCAGGCTGCACTAGGCCTCCCCCAGACTCCACCAGCTGCACCTCACACTGGACACCTGCAAACAGAGAATTCTGGTCAGAAAACTGTCACAGAAACCAAATTTTCTCTTTTTTCATGTTCACACAGCATCTTTTCCCTATTAATTACCTTTTAAAATAAAGACAAGGAAACACCAGCTGAGCATCAAGTCCATGGTGAGTGTTCTGTGTTCAGTGCTAATCACTGAGTGGGAGGACTTGGAATCCAGGGCTGGGCTCCTCTGCCTGAGCTGCAGGGTCAGGGCAGGGCTGGTTATCATGAGCACAGAGAAGCCTTATTTGCATATTGTCTGGCTATAGCAAGCACTGGAGGTGGACCTGGGGAGAAGGCAGTGCTGTTGCTGTGTGTCAAGACACAGGAGTGTGGGTTCATGCTGCTTTGTGGAACAAAGACTAAGAGGCATCTTAAGAATGAATCTAGCCTTTCTTGGCTGCAGGGGGTCCAGCCTTGAAGGACTGAAGCACTATTACATCGCCTGAGGCATTTTTATTTCTTCTAATTACAGTTTAGCCAGTTAATTTCTGTACCTTCAAAGCAACCTCAAAAGAGCTCCCAGAGAAAAAATGCCAAGTGCAAATTACTTGATTTTTCAGGTACCACAGTTTTCCAGTTTTCCTGAACTAAGTATTGCATAAGCCTTTGATCCTTGGGAGACTCTATGATCCTTGACTCTCAGACAAGATTCACATAGGGCAATGAGAAAACAAATGGTGTGGTTAAAAAAAGAAAGGATTAGGGCTAGGTGCTACTCTATGGAGCCAGGCTAGGAGCTCAGTAGGAATGCAGCCGCACGGCACTCAGAGATTATATAAGACATCAAAGACAATGATGACAGACAGAAATGGCCATGGTATTGTAGTTCTGTATGGAACCTTTCCTCACTTCATATAGCTATCTTTTGTGCAGGTGCTCAGAACATGCTGTGTTTCCACAATGTCATGTCTTCTTAGAGAAATTAAAATCACCACACACAGGTGTGTGTCTATCTAGGAGCTTAGTCATTCCCACTGTCTGAGCTGGACACGGCTTCTCTCATATGTAGATCTTGGACAGGGTCACACCTGTCTGGAGAGGTTAGAACTCCTTGCTTGTGACAGGAACACTTTAGAATTATCTGAATTTCACATATTTATGCGAAAATGCTGTCATCAGGACATAAGAGGACTACAGATGAGACATCCCATGTCACTGCCTCTCTCCTGCCTCGTGGTTGCTATGGAGACATTCCTAATCTGCAGCAAACTCACTTGATCTGCACCCTGAAATTCTCTCTGTGATTCCTTTAAACTCCCAGTTTCCATTATCTTCTTCCATCTTTACACCAGGAAACACATGATTGTCTCATGTTGGATTAGGAAAGTTTTCATCCCCAATTAATATAATTAGCGTACTGGGGCTTTTAATTAATTTTTAGAATGACGTTGTTCTCATTTAACCAGTTCTCTTGTTTCCTTCCTACTCATTCTCATTCTCTCCCCACACCCCACTTTTGCTTTCCCAGTTCAGCACTACCCTGGGCAAGTTCCCAGTGCCCCTCACTTAAGATGGCTTCCCTCCCTAGGGCTCCTGTTCTGGTTCCAAAACCTATAAAACAGAAGCCAGATCACCTAACACACACAATCTACGTTCTGTATATGACAGAAAAAGGCAGTGTTTGTCTTTCCCAATCTTGTTATATTGTTCGGCACATTGATTTCTAGTTCCATTTGTGTTCTTCCAAGTCTCAGAGAACACTGAAGAAGAGGAGGCAGAAAGAATGTAAGAGGTGGAGCATGAGGAAGAGTGCTGTGAAATTCTGTCTACTGGACATGACATGGTTATCACATTCATGAACTCATCATGGCTGTTATTCCCTGTGTAATCTGTACCAAGAACATATCCCTAGTGTAGATTATTTCCACATCTTACCTCTGGCTGAGGAGCTGTTGGATGCAGATAGTTAGTGGAGCGGGAGAATCCTTCCTTTTTGAGACTTTGGTCATTGGTAGGGTTCCTATGTTGCATTGTTTGGCCCCCTGCACATTCATATGTGGACAGCATTAACTAGTCTTAAGAAAGTCATGAAGTTGTGGTAGCCTTTTGTGGGGGAAACTATGGGTTCAATTCAAGGAGAAATATGGTAGAAATACCATCATATTTAAATTTATACATGTAGAGTTCACAGTTCTTTAAATGAAGAAAAATAGCACCTACTTAATGGCTGGTTTAAAGTAAAAATATCACCATAGAAAATGCTTAAGGAAGACTCTACCAAATGTAATAAAAACTGGTACACAAGGTGACCCCAGAAACTGTAATGTTGATGAAGGTTTTTACTATACTTTATTTCAAGTTCTATACTGTAGTATCATCATAATAAAAACAGCATGATACCAGCACAAACACATACATAGGGGGTGGAAGAGAGAGAGAGAGACAGAAAGAAAGAGAAAGAGAGAGAGAGAGAGAGAGAGAGAGAGAGAGAGAGAGAGAGAGAGAGAGAGGACACATGTAATTGATATGGTAGGTGGTGCTTCTGGATGTGCCTAGGGAATAGTAAGCAGTATCAAGATTCACTCCATGGGTTTTCTTAGGCATCTAGGGGCATCTGTCAGGTAGAAGGCAGGCCGTTGGACATCTGGAACATAGATGAACTAACAGAAGTGGTGCAGGGTAAAGGATGGGCTTATAGATGGTTTGGAGATGTTGACAGGGGTCAGGAAGAGGTGTAAATTTACTATTTTGATTTCCTGGTTACATGGGAAAACTTAATGGTCCCTGGATGGTGAAAACATAACCATAGGGACTCTTAACAGGGAGGACCCAAGAGAAGGGTCATGGAATATTGGGGCAGTGGCAGGTGGGGCTTCAAAAATCCCTTAGGGGAGATGTGCTGGGAGTTAAATGTGCAAGGTCATCCATCATATGGTGTCCTGGTTTAGTGGACAAGTGGAGCACCATTGATAGTCCATGGGTGTGATTTGGGGAGGGATGAATAAAGAGGGACCAGGAGAAGAAATACAAGCTCCTGGTTGGACAATGGATGGGGATTTAGGGATTCTGTGATGATAAGTGTGCTGAGAAGGAGCAGGGGTGTTCACTGGGCACCCAGGCCTATGGGACAGTTATAGGATTCCTGGGAGGAGAGGAGGGCAATAATCATTTGTGATGATATTATATTCCCCAAAATATTGTGCACCGTGATAAACTTATCTGGGGTCAGAGAACAGAGCAACCACTAGATATCGGGGCCAGGAAACGGTGGCACACATGTCTTTAATCCTGTCACTTAGGAGGCAGAGATCCATTCTGTTCTCTGTGAGTTTAAAGCCACACTGGAAACAGCCAGGCATGGTGACTCATGCCTTTAATCCCAGGGAGTGATGGCAGAAATTAGAAAGGTATATAAGGCGTGAGGACCAGGAACTAGAGCTGGTTAAGCTTTTAGGCTTTTGAGCAGCACAGTTCAGCTGAGAGGCATCCAGTCTGAGGAAACAAAATCAGCTGAGGAATTGACAAGGTGAGGTGGCTGTGGCTTGTTCTGCTTGTCTGACCTTCCAGCGTTGACCCCAGTACCTGGCATCAGGTTTGATTTTATTAACAAGACCTTCTAACAATTCATGCTAAATCATACATTTGTGTTTTATGTATCTATTCGAAACACCTTTAATTAGGATTTACTAAGTATCTGCTGAGTTTCAAGACATAAAAAACAAAGTGCTGCATATACTAAATCCCAACCCTAGAAAACAAAGACTTGTGGTCAGGAAGGCGGAGACAAACCATCCATGAGTTTAGAAAACAGAGACCAGAATCCGCTTCCATTAGAAAAATTCAGTCTACCTTTTGACTGAAGGGAAAAGGCCAGGAGAACAATTTATCATTTAGGATTGAATTACCACTTCCTTGGTAATTAGAGACCTTGATTTTATGCAACTTCTTCTCCCCACATGAACTGTCCAAAATGAAGGGTCTCAATAAATGGATGGAGGACAGGAATACTTCTACCCAAGAAAAGATTATTTCTCTTTTCCATGATCTATGTGTTATCCTGTGATCCACATCAAAGACAAGTAATGAAAATGGGTTGGTCTTGAGAAGAAAAATGAGATTGCTTTTGTAGTACCTTTCAATTATTTCTATAAATATAATCAAAGGACATACTCAAGATGAGAGAATTTAAAGGGAATCCCATACTATTGGGGCTTCTTTTCTATTTCACAGGAGGATCCTGTCTGTACAGTTTTTTCTCATGTCCTGATTTTCTTACGTGATATACTGTAAGTTGTATAAGCAGGAAATAATTTCATTTTCATGTTGCTCTTGGTTATTGTGTTGGTCACATCAATAGATAACAAACTAAGACAATTTCCAAATTTGGGGAATATTCAATATTCAGTAATTGGGGACCAGGTACTCTTTCCTACTGTCTTTACCTACTCACCACTGTATGTCACCTAGCCTAAAGCACCAGGGATTCACCAAACATTTATGTGGTTTTACTGTTCATGCATTTCAGACAAGACTGAGGGATTCCACTATCTCTCAAAGAGATAGGATAGTCATCCCAGACAACCAGGCTTGACCTGATTCAATGAGAGTAGAAAGAAGATGATGAAATTCAAGGATGCCTGTGATTTCCAACCTTGTCTCAGTATTTTTGCAGGACCATCATTTCCCCATTTCCACAGACCTCTTTTACCTAAATTGTATCAACTCCTGCCAATCCAGGGCTTTCTCTGCACAGTGAAGACATTCTCATCAGTTTGGGGCAAGAGATAAATGTCAATGCACAGGAACATTGTCCTAGTCTGTTTGAAATGATACAAAGAAATACTATAATATTTGTATTTTTGAAACAGCATTTATTTGCTATAATACGGAGCTAGAAATTCCAAGGCAAAGATTCCTGAAATTCCAGTAGAGTCAATGCAGTTTTTGTCCTTCATCATGAAGCTCCTGTGTTGTCATGTGATACAAAGGACAACAGATCTCTGAAGACTTATACAAGGACACTGATCACAGCCCACCCCAGATTACAGTGTCTCATGGGCTGGTTTTTCAACATGTGAGTGTTGAGCAACAGAACAGACAGAGCTTGGCAGCACCCCTACAGCTTCTTCCCAGAACAATCAGTCTCCTGATGTAAACACTGGCGAGGATTCACCTATTGCCACAAAAACACTTTCTCTGCTTGCAGCAAGTATTGAAGATGTGCTTAACATAAC